ACCTTAACTTCAAGTTTTCAACATTCAAGGGTTGACTCAACCTATTTTTAATTATATAATATATATATTTTTTATTATAGATATTATAACATATAATTTATATTATATAAAGAATAAATATACAATATTAATGTAGCGTAAACATTAAAAGACATGTTAAGTTATTCATAAGTTAAAATTTAATAAAAAAGATAAAAATACTAAAAATTAAATAAAAATATTATTTGGATGAACTTGAGCATAATTTGAGATCCAATTAACATTGAATATGATCGGATTTGGACAAGCATGTAAAATATTGATATATATCATATATATAAATAGACTTAATCCATAAACACCTCTTATCTATATAATATAATAATATATATAAATGAGAAAAAATTTTCAAATGCTCAAATGTGCTACAATGAAAATTGTTAATATATTAGAAATTGTATTTTGGGTACATTAGTCTTTTTTTTTTTTTTAAGAGTTACAACTAAAATAATCCTCCTCAAACTCTACCACTCTTCCCCAAATTTGAATTTATGATTTTATTTTTTGTTACAAAAGGGAAGAAAAAAGAAACAGTATTTAGAAATTTTAAAATCTAGGGAATTCATAGTTTCTCAAAATCTAACTCCTTATCACATGAGATTAAAGCACATGATTAAAAGTGATCAAAGACCAATCTAATCTTATACGTGTAAGTTTCCGAATATCTTCAATCAAACTCCCAATAGATGCAAAGCAGTATCAGTTCTACATATTTATCAACTCAAAGTATCACTTTAACATCAAATTAATTCAATCTTCACTCCAACAGACAATATGTGACTTTTAAGGGTTTTAAATTTTAACTAATGGATTGCCCTTTTAGAGATAACAATTAGATATTTTTATTTAATCTTTAGTATTTTTGTTTAAAATATGTTTCACCAATTGCCAAAAGTAATTATGTTTATTTTCTTACTTTTATTTTGTTTATTTTATTAACCAATTATAGTCTTATATTATCATTGTTCAAGGACAATTATTTCATGCGCATATCATTGACGTAGTTTAAAAGTTTCATAAGTGAATTTGTATAATAACCTTGCGTTTATTAATTTTTTTTTAAATTAATTAATAATAATGTATTGATTAAAAACTTTTGTGAATTAGGGAGATAATTTTATTATAATCCCAGTTAATTATTGAACACCTCCTTAGATTGTCCTTAAAGATTGGACACATGCCATGCAAAAAGTGTTATTATTTTCTTAATTTGTTGCTCTCATATTTTTTCAGAGAAAATTTAGCGAGTGGGCAGACGAAAGTTGTTTTGCGTTAAAAGAGATGAAAAGAATAAACAAAATAAAAATAAAATAAAATAAAAGTAAGAAAATAAACAGAATTATTTTTGGCAATTGCTGAAACATAAGATTATTAACTGGTTAATAAAGCTACATCTCTCACCATGTGGATGCAAATTTTCGAATCTCTCTCTCTAAAACAAAACTAAAAAGAATTTCTCAGACTAAAAATATATATAAAAGAAACTGATCAGAGCCTATATCCTATCTAAACCATTGCTTGTGAGGCCAAAAAGAAGCCTTTGGTCTAGAACCGATAATAAGAAGCCACATAATAATGACTAATCTATAGAAAATGAGCTGCGCATTCCCTTCTTCTTGCAGCAACAAGATCCCATTTTCCTTTGGCAGATAAAAAATCTTATACTCAAATCTCTGCGAGAAATTAATCTCAATGTCTGCCCTCTTGGGGTAATATTTGGGGTGTTATATTAAGGGATCGAGGAATCGGCCGTTGAAGAAATGCTTAATTATATTAGTATCTTTCTGTGAGTTGACTTGATTAATAAATTCACAGGCTCCTTAGTTTACTTGCCTATAGTTGCCTGAGAAAAGAGAAATTAGCATATGAACAAAACATTTTTTATCAAAATATTTATGAAGAAAACAAATCTGATGGGAAGCGGGAAGGCGAGAGCTACGATTTCCTTAAATAAGCATAGAAAGACGAGAAAATTATCTTGTTTTGGGTCTACTTTTAAAAAGTTGATGAGAATTGAGCAGTTGCGAATTGCGAGATGGAAAAGGGGGGAGAGCCCCATCAAGTATCAGCCCATCTATGCTTGAATATTTTAAACTAGCTACACAACCAAAAAAATATTGTACTGTAAAGCTTGTAGGGATATATAATATACAGTAAGCCGTGAATAAGAAGAAAGGAGAAATTGGTTTTGTTCAAGGATGGTAGCCAACGTCGATTATCTGTCTAGGCGAGGGATCAAGTTCCACGTACGTAGGTAGCATACGTATCGACACGAGGTATACACGCCAATTGAAGCCTAAAGATGATTGCAATGTTACCAAAAAGAAGATAGTTTTAGGCTTTTAGCGATGGCGGCCACTTGCAGCACGTGCAGTTTTTGGTCCAAAGAATAGCTAGTCAGCCACTCCCTGACAAACGGCTTGGACAGATTGACTGAGGAGGGTATTCAGTGAATCAAGCCTTAATAAAAAGTTTTGTACTAATTCAACCACCAACTGAATAGTACTTATGTGCCAATTTTTTTTTTTTAGACGAAGAAACCGCGGTTCAAGAATAGAATAAAAAAATTATAAATATTAAAATTAAAATTTTATACTTATTAAATGATTTTTTTTTAAAGTGATTTATGAACATTTAGTTTCATCAGCAATAATATATATTTCTAGCCAATTTTTGAGTAATTGGAAAAAATTGCACAAGCCTAGAGAAATTAAAGCTTGTGATGAATCCCAATTGGCAATTATATGTAATAACAAATATAAATTTTGTGTTTTTAGTAACTAACTAAATATAAAAACGAAGACAATTTTCTCATTACCTCATAAATATTCCCGTCGTTTCCTTCTTAAAAATGGGAATATAAATCTTTTAGAAAGACATATCTCAAAATTTCAAAACAGTTGGGGACACAGCCTGAATGCTTTCCATAATAATAATTCGTATATAATGTTCTCCTTTTTTTTTTTTTTTCTTTAGATCTAACATAATTCTACTTGAATTTATAGTTTTATTAAAAAATATCATGTGTCAATTTCATAAATAAACTGTTATTTTTTTTAAAGACACTTTTTTATTTGATTGTATAACTTCGCAAATTGATTTGATCTTTCAACTTGTAAATTAAAGCTTTACAATTATCTAAAAGAATGTTCAAATCAATACGCATTTAATTTCAACAATTATCGGGTTTTTTTTTCCCATTATCACAATTAATTCAAAGTGAAAAGTTTAATTCATTAAACCAAAAATGATAAAATCTCTTCCTTTTCCTTATCTAACCATTTTTCTGTTATCTATTTATTATTGTTGGTCTTCCAAAAGTCTTTATAAGAAAATCTTTTAAAAAAAATTACCTATTTTGAATCCTTCAATTTTCATCCAAATTTTGCGTCCTAAAAATTTTTTTTGTCAATTTGTAAGAATTTTTTATCATTTTATTTAAATTCAAAAGATTTACTGGTGAATATAGTCACTAATTTACAATTCCTTTTACAAAATCCATTAATTTAAAGATCTAACTTATAAATTTAAAAAGTATTGAAAAAATCTGATTATGAATTTATTAATTTGTACTGCAAAATTCTTAACTCATTTTAATTTTTTTTTGTTCAAGATAAATTTTCACATTTATTTTTAAAAACCTTAATATTTTACAAATTAATAAAATAAGTATGTACAAATATGTTTTAATATTTTTAATTAGTTTTATTATTGAACCACAACAAACACGCAGGACAATGACTAATTAAAGTTATTCTAGATGATTAAACATTACTCTTAGTGTTAATTATTCTAGGGGGCCATACATGAAACAGCTCATGTCTGACTTCTTTTTTGTCTGTTTTGCAAAGGAAATCTGAAAACTGAAGCGAATATGGCTAATAGTCATCAGTTGTTGCTTTTCGTGACAATAAAAGAGCAACGACCAGTTTATAGTGCTCAGCATTTACTTTTATGCGGTCCAATAGATAAAACGAGTATTAATATCTTTACATCAACATCAATAAAAGCTTTACTCCCTTGACAAAAACCAGTTGGCTGATTATCCGAATGAAAAAGACTTGGATAAAATTTTTTTAGTAAAATTTGTAAAATTTTTAATTAAAAGTAATTAAATCAAAATTAAAAATTAAAATCAAAATTAATAAATTGAAAGGTTTCATTACCCAATTAGATGTGTAAAATTTTAAAAAATTTTAATAAATTTATATATATATTTTTAGATAAATATTTTTAATAAAATTATTTATAAAATTTTTAATATTGAATAAGCATCGATCAAATTTAAATTATAAATAATTTTTTAGATAATTTTTTATATATTATTGATTTTTACATTAAACTCTATCAATTGGTTTGAAATTTTTATTACATTATTTTAAAAATTTTACATATTTCGTTTAAAAAATTTTATATAAGTTTTCTCATTATTCAAATAAAAATTGCGATATTTGACGTTTTCATTCCACTTTATTTTAATCATAAATCTAGTATGCAGTAGTATAAAAGTACCACTCCAAAATGTTAGACAACCTATTGTTGGGAATAATACGATATTAGAACAAAACGAAAATAAGAAAATCTTGATAAAAAGATGGGAAAAAATTAAGAAGGAAGCAAATTGACAACGATGAATTAAATCATGAAGTTCTCAAACTTTTATATTAAAACAACTTTTGGCCAACAACATGTAATAAAAAGCTATATCTCCAAGAGGATTAAAATTTTTCAAATCTCTCTCTCTATCTCCATACTATCAAAATAAAATTAAAAATCAACTCTGCAGCTTAAAAATAAAGAAGAAACGGAAAAACCTATTCTCTCTAAAAATATTGCTCTTGTCCCATCGATAGCTATAAGTTATATATATTCAGAAAGACTCTGAGGCCAAAGAAGAGGTGTATAAGAACAAATATAATTGACGGTCCACATTAAATAATACTTTGGACTAACCAATTAATCTAGACAACATTGACTAAGCATTCCCCTTTTTCACCAGTAAAACTCCCCTTCCATTTTGCGGATAAAAATCTTACATGCAAATCTCTGCAGTAAACCACCATGAATTCCCTGTGGGACAACCAATTCCAAGCCAAGAATTTTGTCCTAAGATTCACTTGAACATTAAAATTGACTCCCTTTTTGATCCTGACGAAGCCTTTGAGCTTAAGCGCATGAAAGTCCATTCGGTTCTTACTTAGGTGCACAGATTCATCCGTAAGCATCCACTGATCACTTGAGACCTTTGGTTTTCCTTGCAACACAAGGATTTTAAAATGGTCCATAAACAAGCTCAGCTTCATGTTCGGGTTTCTAATGGTGAATGCAATGTCATAATAACTTGTGTTTGGCGGTGAGTTTGGGCCGTGACTAATTGAAATGTTAAAGGAGTTTACTTCAAAAACAGGAGGGAGTGGTTGAAGGATACGCCACGCAATGAAGTTGAAGGTGCGTATTGTGACAAACAATAAAACTATTGCCACGATCACACGGCGAACGAAGAGGGAACTTGTTGAGTTGTTATTAGTAGGCTGCAAAGCTCGAGAGCTTGGAGTGATGGTGGTGGGGTTTGCCTGTTGGGATTGTGATGTTGTTATGTTAAAGGAGGAAATGGGAATTGAAGAGCTGTCAGGCTGCGACATTATTCTATGTTTGTGTATCAACTGATTTGAGTAATGACTTATATAAGTACAGGCTTGCAGGTGTACTTGGCTACATAGCTAGTTAGTTGGGTGAGAAATTTGAGAAAGTAAGAGCAAGCTGAAGACAATTGTGATGAGATATAGGGCAATTATAAGTTGGAGAGAACGAGAGAGAGATGGGACTTCCTTAAATAGGCGAAGAAAGCCGCGTATTTATTTGTGCATGACATGACAAGAAGTTGATACGTGCTCTTCTCGACATGTTCGTTTCTTCCAATGACAGCAGCTAACTGATCTTAGTGTTCATACGGAAGCTTATGACTGAAACAGTTCAATTAATGTAATAAAAATATTTTTTTATCGTGTTAAGAATAATTATTCAAATCTCATAATAAATTTATTTGGATTTGGATAGATATTGCTTGATAGATAAAAAGATTTGTAAAAAAAAAAATTTAAGAGAAAATATATTCTTAATAGGTAAGTTTGACTTGTATAAGAAGAATTCTAAGAGAAAAGAGATTCTTAATAGTATAGTTTATATGCTTATAAATACGTGAAGTCTGTATAAGTTTAGGTACGAGAAAAAAATATAAGAGAGTTGTAAGGTTTTATGAGATAGATACTTTATAAGACTACTAAAGATTTATGTCTTATGGGTGTGTATGTTTGAATATTTATAAGTGGACTAGAAGAGACTAAAATGGTCTACATCAATATAGTGCATATGTGTACAAGAGTAAGTGTTTGTTTAGGTTAAGAATACTTCATAGTATTAGAAGAGATTGAGAAAGTCATAGGTATTGATCGTTAAGTGGTTGATATGATTTGTATGTTTGTAATTATCTACAACTAGTGATCTTGCATCTCATCTATGGATATAGGTCGATTGGATCAAACCATGTTAAATTATTGTCTCTTGTATGATTGATTGATCATTTGATTTCACTTCCGGTGGTGTGATTAGATTGAAACTTTTTGCCTAACAAGTAGTATCAAAGCTATTGTGATCCCCAATAAGTGATATCAAAGCATAGTTTGAGCCATGAAAAAAGGCAAGCCTAAAAGAGTTCAATTTAAGAGAAAAGTTTGAATTTAAGTTTTGAAGATTGAAGATTGATTTGCGTAAAACATGAAAACACACAAAAGAAGATGATAGTGAAACTTTCATTACAAGTGGAGTCAAGCATGTCTAGTATGAAAGATAAATGATTTGATAAAATTTGAGTCAAGGTGGAGATTGTTGGAAATAGTGACTTAAATATCATAACAGATTTATTTAAAATTAGTTAGATATTATTTAATGGACAAGAGACTTGCAAAAGAATAATTCTAACAAAAAAAATTTTAATATGCAAGTTTGACTTGTAAAAGAAAATTTTAAGAAAAAAATATTCTTAATAAGTAAGTTTTTGTGCTTATAAATAGATGAACTTTTTATAGGGAATGTATAAGAAAAAGATATAAAAGAGTTATAGATTTTATGTGATAAAATCTAATAAAATATTGAAGATTTATGTCTTATGATTATGTATATTTGAATATTTATGAGTGAACTAAGGATACTGAGAGGGTCCATATAAATATGGTACATGGATATACGAAGGTATGTGTTTATTTGAGTTGAAAATATTTCATAAGACTAGAGGAGATTGAGAGGCCTATGTGTATTGATTATTGAGTGATTGATATGATTTGTATGTTTGTAATTCTTTACAACTAGTGAATTTTATTTTTATCTGTGGACGTAGGTCGATTAGACTGAAACACATTAAATTATTATCTCTTATGTAATTGGTTGATTATTTGAATGTGCTTTCTGCTAGTGTGATTGGATTGAAGCTTTTTACCCAACAAGTGATATTAGAGTTGTGGTGATTCCCAACAAGTGGTATCAAAACATGATTCGAGCCATGAAAGAGGTAAGTCTAGAGGAGCTCGATTCAAGAGAAGAATTCAAGTTCAAATTTTGATGATTTAAAATCGGTATGTATGAAGTGTGAAGACACACAAGAAAAGATGATTGTGAAACTTTCCATTGCAAGTTAAGCTAAGCATGTTTAGCATAAAGATGGATGATTTTATGAAATTGGAGTCAATGTAGAGATTGTTGAGAATAGTGAGTCAAATTTCATAATAGATTTATTTGAGATTAGTTAGATATTAGTTGATGGATAAGAAGATTTGTAAAAGAATAATTCTAAGAAAAAATTAATTTTTAATATGCAAGTTTAACTTGTAGAAGAAATTTTCTAAAAAAAATTTTTTTAATAAGTAAGTTTGTATACTTATAAATAGGTGAAGTCTTTATAGAGTTATATATGAGAAAAAGATGTAAAAGAGTTATAAGATTTTATAAGATGACACCTCCATAAAATTACTGAAGATTTAAGTCTTATAGGTGTATATGTTTGAATGTTTATGAGTGAACTAGAAGAAACTGAGAGGATCCATATAGGTATGGTGTATGGATATATAAGGGTATGTATATTTGGATTGAGAATACTCTATAAAATTGAGTAGATTGAAAAAATCTAAGTATTAATTATTGAATGATTGATATATTTATATATTTATAATTTTTTATAATTAGTAAATCTTATTTTTTATCTATAAACATAAATCGATTAAATCAAATTATATTAAATTATTATTTTTATTTAATTAATTAATTATTTAATTTCACGTCTATTAACACGATTTAATTAAAGTTTTTGCTCCACACGTCAAACCAACTTTTCAAGCTTTGGGGTCATTGTTTTGATTGGTTCTGATACTCGAATGCTGCTTTATAGGACTACAGTGTTGAGGCTCGTCCGTTGTTAAGTGCTTTTCGTGTTTCATGCCCCCAATTTCACCCTTTCATTTGCTACAATTCAATGTTTGTGGACTGTTTTCTGACGTAAACGAGCTGCCTACTGAGTGCTTTGTCTTTTATTTGGCTTGTAGTGGTATTGCTTTTGGATTGATAATTGTCTTCTATTCTAAATTCTTAGTAATTTTCCCCAAATAATTAGTATTTCTCTTGGAGGTTGAAAGGGGGAAAAAATGGTTCTCAAGAATTTGTTAAAGCTTTATTTCTTTCTTCGGCTTTAGATACATACTAAGAATTTGTCAAAAGAAAATAGTACATTTGTCAGTACCATTTTGCTTGTTTTCCTTTTGATTTTTAGTAAGTTTAAAAAAAAAAAAAAGCTAATTTGATTTTAGCGTATTTTAATTAAAATTTTAATTATTTTATTTTTATACAATTGATGTACCGAAAATTTTAATGCTAAAAATTAAAAAATCATAAAAATAATTTAAATATATATAAGGAGAATTAGATGTAAGCAGAGCTGAAATAGTTTTAGCACATCTCTAGCAAGGAAAATGAAAAAAAAAAAAGACGAAAAAAATACTATTTTTTAAAATATATTTGAAAAGAACAATTTTAATACACAAAATATGTGTATATATGCCATTCTTGCAAAGATAGTTGTTAAGGAATATAGTTCTAGAAATACATGCAATGGTTCTATATTAGAACTTCATTCAAGGGCAGTACAGACCAGAAAATATGGAAATTAAAGCCATCCACGACTCAAAAGATATTAAAGGGTGGGAGTCCAAATTTAATGGTTTTAAAATGAGATGGATTCCTGGAAATGCCAACATGGCATTCAGCCTACCACATGGTAACTTTTTTTATTTTTTATTTCTTATTAGTGGGACCCACTTTTTTTAATAATTTTTTTGAAAAAAATGTAGGGCCCATTCTTTTTTGTTTGAAGGTGTGGAATTCAATTTCTTCTCAATCGGTTTTCATTTACTAATTTGTGGGGCCCACATATTTTAAAATTTTTTAAAAGGTTAGGGCCCACTTTTTTTTTTTATTTGGGCTATCTTAAGATGTGCGTCCCACTTTTGTTTTTGCAACCGGTTTCTCCTTTTTTTTTTTAATTTTTTTATGTTGCGCACATGTTTTTTTTTTTTTTAATTTTAAAAAATGTAGGATTGACATTTTTAATTTTATTTTTTGGTTTTTTTACTTTTTTATTTTTTTATTATATTTAATATTTTAAAAAATATATTTTAAAATATTTTTTGTAAGGATCATTTATACAAAATTTTTTTCTTTTATTTTTTTTTACTTTTTTTACTCTTTCATTTTTTTTTATTTTTTCATACAAAATTTATTTTGTTACGTTTTAATTTTATTTTGAAACTCACTTGTTTGCTTTTAAGGGTACACAACATGTTTATTTTTTTTCTTTCTCTTTTTTTTTTTTGTTTTTTTACATGATTGATAAATAGCTTTTGATTTAAATTTTTGATATCCACGTTATATCAATGATATACAATTATATCAATGACATACAACATATTAAGTCATTTGATTTTTTTATTAACTTTTATTAATATCTAATAGTTTTTTATATTTTTATTTTTCTAATATGGGCCACTTCATATTGTTATTAAAAATATATGTTTGATTTTTAATATTTTTAATTTGATAATTTTAAAAAAATTATATTAGTGAATTTGTTGGCTTGGCATCTGAATTTATTTTTTTATTTTTAAATTTTTTTAGTTTTAATTTTTTAATTAATTATATAAAATTTTCAATAAAAAATCATCATTACTGATGTCACATGCGTGTTTAATTTCTTTAAAAATGATTACAATATCTTTTTAATAATATGATAATTGAATTATATGCATCCAAATTAATTATAATACCCATCTATGATCAACTAAAATTATTATAATAACCCTATTAACATAATTATTAAATACCCTTCTCACCTTAGTTGGCCAAAATTACTATAATACCTACAATTATAATTATAGAAATGTCCTCATATTATCATTTGCCAAAATGATTATAACACCCTTTTACCATAATTACAAAAATATCCTTCATATTATAATTTACTAAAATTACTATAATACTCTTTAACTATAATTATGAAAATGCTTTCTTATCATACCTACAAAAATACCTTTTATATTATAATTGGTTGAAATTACTATAATATTCTCTAACTATAATTACAAAAAACCCCCATTTTGATTGCTTCATATAATGTCTCTCCAATCATAATTATAAAAATACCTCTCATAATAAGTTGATCAAAATTACTATAATACCTTTTAAGTATAATTACAAAAATATATTTTTATTACTTCATAATTACGCATTAAATTTTAATATTTAATTACACATTAAATTTTAATATTTATATAATAACGTAAAATTAATCCCTTTAAAAATGATCATGATACCCTTTTAATTACTTGAAAATTGAATTACATGTATCTAAATTGACTGTAATTACTCTTTTTCTATGATTAACTAAAATTACTATACTATCCCTCTTAACATAATTACTAAAATATCCCTTTTACCATAATTTTTCAAAATTAATATAATACCTTTATAAACATAATTACGAAAATACCCTCCTATCATTATTCACCAAAATGACTATAATACCTCTCCTACCATAATTACAAAAATACCACTCATATTATAATTTACCAAAATTACTATAATACTCTTTTACCATAATTACAAAAATATCTTTTTTATTACTTCATAATTATGTATTAAATTTTAACCTTCATATAATTATATGAAAATGAACCTCCTTGAAAATGATCATAATGGCCTTCTAATTTTAAATCAACTATAATGCCTCTCATTTTATAATTAATTAAAATTACTATAATACTCATTTAAACATAATTAGTAAAATATTTCTTTTACAATAATTAGCTAAAGTTACGATAATACTCCTGCAATCATAATTATATAAATGCCTCCTTATCATCATTAGCCAAAATTATTATAATGCCTTCCTACCATATTAAAATTATTGGTTTTTTTTTTTTTTTGTTAAAAATTAAGTTGAATGAGTGATGATATTAGTAGATTTTAATTCCATGGATAAATTGGTTTGAATTTGGTAATCAATCAATGTTGGTAATAAGTAAATGTTATATTTGGCAGGCTGGATTGTCATGTATAAATTATTGAGTTTTGATTTAATTTTTTTTAAAGTTGTCTTTTTTATTTAAAATAAAAGCCGATAGCTATTTAATTACAATGGAGTGACACAATTTAAGCATAAGTTTTTTTAATTTTTTTTTCAAAAATTTATATTATTTCAAAAAAATAACAAAATACTAAAAACTATTTACTTTATTATTAAATAAAAAATTATATAATTTATGTTTCATCCAAATAAAAAAAATTGTAACTCGGGTGTAGCTAGGTGATTTTTCTAGTAAACACTTAAGGCGATGTTTGAATGAAATATATGAAGAAATGATATCATGATTTTTAAAAATTTTAAAAATAAATCTACTTGTTTATGTAAAAATAAAATAAAAATTTATAAGTTATAATGAATTTCAAAAGAAATTTTGAAGTAGCCAATTTCTCCCTTGAAATTTCACATAAAGAGCTGATTCTTTAAAATTCATCCAAAAATTTTATTTTTTTACTACACATGATCCATCATAAAATATAAAACTTAAAAACCAAAATATCATTTTATTTAACTCTAATGCTATATTTGGATAAATATTAATAAAGGAAAAAAATTTTAAAAGAAAAAAAAAGGATACATGTACCTCCTGTTTGGATAATTAAAATTAATAAAGGAAAAAAAAATTCTAACAACCATTGTTTGTATAAAGAGTGAAAAAAAAAAAAGAAAATGATTCGTTATAATAATTTTTTTCAATTATAACTTTTCATTGTTTGTGATTTTGTAGAGCATTTTTGGATCATAATATGTTTGATATCTTATCTAGCCTCATAATTATTATTATATTAGTGGTTTTTAATCAAGTGAAACAAAAAGATGTTTTATAAATATGAATTGATGGATTTGTTAGCTATTATCAAATTTTTAGCACATTATCACTTTAACATCTCATAAACATAAAAAATATGTCTATTCATATTCAATCCTTCATCAAAATCAAATTATCAAAAAATTATAAAAAATTTTTATATTGGAATAGACATGTAAAACTTACTTGAAAAAAGAGATGATTTTAAAAATATTATAGAAAGATTGTGATGTGGTTAGATTTTTTTTTATTAGGCTTTTGGTATTAATAAAAAGTTAGATATAATAATCTTTTTACAAAAATAAAATTTTTTTAGCTTTCCTTTCTTCAGCTTTTTCCTCAAATTGAGGTATTAAAAAAGTGAAGACTATAAGATAAACTAAAGATTATTGAGTTTTTACCTCTTTCATTTTCTTTAAATTAAAAGCTTATCCAAATAAAAAAAATATTTTTCTGTTTCTATTACTATCTTTTATTTTCCTTTTCTTTCCTTTTCTTTTCCTCAATCCAAATATACTGTAATATATATTTTTTATTTTTCATAGTATTGATAATGTCTATGAATGCAATGTTTTATTTAACTCTAATATATATTTTGATTTTTTATATTATTAATAACGCATATACATTTTTACAAATCTAATGAAACTCATGCTATATATTTTATATTTATGTATTATTATTATTATTATTATTATTATTATTATTATTATTATTATTATTCCAATAGATTAAATATTTTTTAAAAAAATTTATCAAAATAAAACAATTACTAATATTAGTATTTTGAAATGATGTAGTTTAAAATGCCTTAATTTTAAATTTTTTAAAATTTTAAAATTTTTCATCCAAATATACTAAGACGTATTGTTTTTTCTCCGAATATTTTTTTCCTATTATTGATGGATTAAAATCACTTTTACTGGCCAAAAAATATATGTATATATATGAGCTTCACAAATGAGATTAAAATATTGTAATATGTTAATTTAATTATGAATTTATTAAGAATATTTTTTTAAGCAATGACTGAAATGAAAATAGAGGAATATTATTTAAAGAATATTATTTAATTATGAGATTAAAATATTATACTAACAAAGTCACTTATCGCGCATTGTTGCGGGTGTCAAATTTCTTATTGTGTTTCATAAATTATACATATTAGTATCTTAAAATGAGTAAACAATATAATAGTAATAACAAACGAAAACAAATGACAGGAAAATTATATTATAAAGGATATTTAAGCATAAAGAACTACAAATACTTACATGCTATCGTAAAAGAATCTTCATACAAAAATAGTTTCATCTCAATTATTATCATCGGTATGTCCTAAAAAATAAATATTACTTGAAAAAAATATATAGCAAAATCAAAAGTAACAAGAAAGCATAAAAATATTTTTATTTGTCAATAGGGCAGAATACACCTCGATTGTGAGGATTTTAAAAATTGAAATTCTTAAGAGAAATGTAATCAAAGATTGACTTAATCAAATAAAGAAAAAGTGGATAGACGAATTCGTAGACCTCCTCGACCATTCATTTTTTCCCTATTTCAGACATAATTTTGGTCTTTTAATCCATTTTTTCCCTACCGAATCTACAACCATACAACCATACGTAGATAAATAATATTGTTGATTCGTTCCTTAAATTTATTTGTGACTCATGAGTATCCAACAAAAGTTACAAAACGTAATTAACAAAAATCAAGTAATTAACAACCTTAAGGAAGTTGCCAATTTGTTTCTCCAAACAAATCATGCCTCTCCCAATTTAAAAATTTTAATAAGATAAAATTGTAGGTGGTAAAGAGAATCTTCAATTACCTTCCAGCTTCCCTCATTTTCCCACTAGTTCAACTTCGTCGTCTGATAAAGAAATCCAGAGATCTATCGTGCATTGCAGTGCCATGTGGATTCAAGCAACCAATAAAAATCATAACTGCACTTTGATTTGCATTCTCCAAGTTCTATTAGCATATCCATACATTTTGTCTGGACAACAAGTTTACTTAATTCGTTTTGTCAACTATGTACAATAACAAAATGCATTGAAAGAATTACAGAATGAGGTAACAAAGACAAGGCCCGCTTGTTCTATTAAAAATTCAAATGGAATTGAAAGGAGATAAGCATGATTAATGAAGAAGCTAACAATTACATCAGCGATGTGAAAAACGAGGGAAAAGAAAAAAGAAAGCTTACCCAAGAAATAATACTTCATGAACTCCGTCCACAGTCTTCAATCATCATTCCTTTCAGACTCTTGGCTAACCAGATAGCAGTCTCCCTTGGGGACACCTTATCTTTCCCAAAAGGCTTCAAAACAACAGATAGCTCTTCCAATCTGTTCTGCTGCAGTAATTCTGCGGACAATTCTAGAAGCCCTTCAAGTGCCTCTGCCCTTTGCCTAAAAGACTTAACATCCAAAGTTTCCTTTGCTGGTGTCTCCTCTCCTGTCACAGAAGAGCTGGGATTCACGGGCTCCGGTGAATCATATTTTGGAGATGAGGAAATGGAATTCCTAACATCCATTTCTATAACACCAGAATAGTCCGAAACATTTGATGTTGAACTTAAAGCTTCACAGCAACTTGATGACTTAAAGGTCACTGGACTAGTCATGTTTCTCATATCCAATTCATCCCTCACAACATTTATGAGTTTCCCAACATCCACATTTTGAACACCCATTTCTACTTTTTCCATCACTGACTGCTCACTGCCAACACGGAAGCTACTGTGCCTTATAACATGTATAACATCATCAAAAGCTGGAGGACAAGAGGTCACAGCTGGTTTTTCGATTGTTGGTTTATATGCCTTTGTTCCTTTATCTGGCTGTGAATTCTTCTGGCTAGATGAAATTGGTGAGGCAACGCAAGGCATAGTTTCAGCAACTGATGAGAGAAGTTCCATTACAGTGAACTTGTCATCACCACTGGATGCAGAAGAAAGATTTGACTGGAGCATCATATCAGGCCTACTACTAGGTTTGCTCGCCACAGTTTCATCCTTAATACTTGGCCTGCTAGTCGGCAAATCTTCCCCAGAAGTTGGCCCACTTATAGGGGCATTTTCCCCAATACTTAACCTGCTTATAGGGGCATCATCCCTGCTACTTGACCAGCTAATACCGGCATCATCACTGCTACTTGGCCTGCTTATAGGGGTATCATCCCTACTACTTGGGCTGTTTATAGGGGCATCATCCCTAGTACTTGGGCCGCTTATAGAGGCATCATCCGGACTACTTGTCCTGCTTAAAGGAGCATCATCCCTACTACTTGTCGGGCTTAAAGGAGCATCATCCCCACTAATTGTCCTGCTTACAGTGGTATCATATTTATGAACAGATATTTCTTCAGAAATCAGGACTGGAAGATCCAAAGGGGCAACCGGACTCACTTTTGCATCAACTGAAGTGAAATGCAAAAGATCCTGGGTTGGACCAGATTCTTCAGTTGAACACATGCCAGATTTATGATCACACCCGTGGTTTTCTCTCAACAGAACCTCAGGCATCTCTGATTTCAGAGCAGGTGAGCTGTATGGAGGATACAATTCCAAGCTCTTGGTGTGAGCAAGCATCTCATGATTATGAGTCTGTTCTGCCATGTCAACAAAAGGGGTTGTTGCAACATCACAAATCTCAAATGCTTGAATCGAGATTGAAGATGAGACAGAATTGCTGCCATCTGTTTGCACCCCCTTGGTAGCTCCAGTTAGAGCTATCTCAGCCTCTTGTTTTACCTCCCTAAAAGCATTTGTAAGGCAACCATTGGGCAGTGGACGAGGAATAGCCTCACGCTCCTGGTTTATCTCTGTAGATCCTAACTTTGGTATGTTACTTGTCCCATTTGAAATATCAGTTCCAGCATGCTTCATTCTTCCTGCAACAGATGATCTTCTTGCAACATTGGAACGAGTTCTTTGCCTTAGCTTAGAAGTTAGTCCATCTTCAGCAACATGCTTATTAGGTGCAGGTGGAGGAATCCCTTCATGTCTAGGTTTAGTCTTTGGGGAGGATTCAATTAAAGGTAACTGCAGAGAAGAATCTTGCAAAATAAGTGAGGATACCAATAACAAATTAGACTAAAAGCTGAACCACTAAGTTGCAGTCTTACCTGGTGCTTCAAATGGTGTGATCCTGGTAGCCTTTTTGCAGAATCTAATGGTAATTTTGCTGAAGCAACAGTTGCCGTGTCTGCATTAGACTTTGAACCCAATGTGGGAGCAGGTGGGTTGAGAACTTTGGATGATGCCTCTATATTATTTCTTTGAGTCAATCCACCTACAGCTTTTGTACGGTTGCCTCCCATTGGGGAACCATTTTCTCTTACTTTCCCTTCTTTCAAAGCCATCACTATACTTTTGATGATTTTTGGCTGCTTTGATTGAACATTAGATCCGTTTTCCGCATAAGAAGGTCTCATCATTCCTTTTTCATCAACTTTGCCAGTGAAAGTAATGGGGGCATTCCCTTCTTCATTTGGCGGGTGCTTCTCAGTGCCATCTTCATCATCATTAGAAATTGAATCCGTGTCAGTGGCCTTACTATTGCCATTTGAAACCATTGTGGCCGTGTTCCTGTCACTTGAAAGCAAACTATCTTTATCACTACATGAGCTATTACTATTCTGACTCTCAGCCATGTTTTTCCTACTATCACAACCAGTGGAAATATGCTTATCCGGGGAGCAACTCATTGAAGGGCGGCTGAAGGATGGATGATACTGATCAACATATGGCTGCAAATAAGGGTGCTTCAAAAGCTCTGATGCCTAATCAAAGTGAAAATTCAAATTGTTATATTGAAGTCCTGTAGGCGGAGAATTCTTAGAGTTGAGCAAAAAGAAACTCTTACACTGGGTCGATGCTCTGGATTCTTGCGTAGCATACCCTTGATAAGTGTTTTCCTGTGTAACATTAACAGATTAACTATCATTAAGTGACGAGTTGATTACTTGACAGAGGATAAAGCATTAATCACGTTTAGCGTTACTTCCCAGATACAGATTACTAAGTCCCTTGGGATTTTAAATGAAAATTCACTATTTTGTACTTTATGAAGGGAAAAAAGGAGTTTCCAAGAAACTAGTTCAAATTTCCTAGATGTGTAAGAAAGAATTTGATTAAGAGATCTGCACTTTGTTGATACATAATATATAAAAGAAAAATTAAAAGTAAAGAGGAAACTAACAAAGATAAAAAAGCACAGTCAGAGCATGCAAAATCATGGAGAATATTCTGTTGTCATGAAAGCATACAACAACAGTGAGCTCTCAAATGCATGTAAACACTTACAAGGATGGAGAGTAGCAAGAAGGCAAAGGGCCGATAGAGGAACGATTTATCTTGCTTATCAACCCTGCCATGTCCTAGAACAAGAAGTTTGATAAAAATTAGTTGAATTAAATTTGTGTAATATACATGGTTAGTGGAGGATAACATTATCAGTTGTAGAAAACTTCTCAAAGGACATTGCATCACACCACAAGTAGCAACATTAGGTACTTTCAAAGAATTGTTCAAAAGAGTTGGAGCATGGAAGTCATAGAAAAATGTTATGAACCTAGCAAAGGTTGCTACTACCTATTCCTAATTGAGATAAACAACAGAGAGAAAGTTTCGTTGCATTTGGAAATGGTGAAAATTTCCACAATAAGATAAAAGGAAGAAAAAAACATAAATTTATAATTTCCTTGTTTTAATATAATCTCGAATGAAATACATGTTACTTGGCAAAATGGGATATAAATTAAACCTAAAAAGAAGGGTTACTGTAAGCTCATTGCAAAATTCAAAAAACAGATTCAACCAAAAGAACCGTGAGAACTCTTACAAAAGCTTTAAAAGCAGGGCGACGAGCAGCCATCTCATACATACAGCACCCTGTTCGACAATAAGTAATTTAGCAAAATATATATATACATATATACATACATACATCTCTATACATGTCAAATATATACTCATGAAAAGACATACCCAGAGACCAGATATCAGACTTGAAACCATAAGGAATATCTGCAAGCAGTTCAGGACACATGTAGTTGGGAGTTCCAACCACCTGAGCCATGTACAAAACAACTATTAACTTGCACTGCAACTAAAAATAGTTAGCACATTCTTATATAAGGAAGAATAAATACAAAAATGAAAAATGATATCAAAGGTAAATTACTTTTGTCTTAAATGAAAAAGGTCCAAACTCTGTAGTATGGTTGGTTGTCAAATAAGGGCTTGAAAAGCCATAGTTTTAGACTAGCGGTTGTTCTCATACCCCCACCATTGGAGGCCAAAATGCAGTTTTCAACTCCCTCCTCCCCACTGCCTTTGTCCAAATGTACCCAAGTAAGAGGACAGAGGCTGAGGAGTACAAATCTAACCCAACAGTAAATTTATGATTGACATGACATATGAGCGACAGTTAGTTTCTAGCACTCAGATATGTAATCCTTTTGCAATTTTAGCTTCTTTTATGTTAAATTGTTACTACAAGACCATTCAAAAAAGTTAAATACATCTCTCCTATCATCAAATATAAGCCTGCTTTGACTAAGTAACCAGAAGTTGAGTACATGTCTATCTTCTCAATTTCTCGGCAATGGAGACATCAATCCCAGAAAATACTAAGGTATCAACAATGATTTTTTTTTTTTTTTTTTTGCTTTTAATTCCTTCCTTGAAGGAAAAAGTCATTATTTATGTTAATCTTGCTGGTCTTATTATAATTTTACTTGGCAATTAGTAACAATTTCCTCTCAGCAGATAAAATTAAAATTAGCACTAAGTTTAACTGCAAGATTTGGCACACACTATGCCAGTTCATATTAACAAATCACACTATTTTTCTACTCCATCAGTTCCTCAACATGTTAGACTGTGACAGCTAACCTTGGAAGGGAGGAATATGTTATGAATTAGCTAATTTATGAGTATGATGCTATGACGCAAGATTTTTGCCATAAAATGTACTGGGAAATTGAGGCTTCAGCAAACGAACACAAATATTAATTATTAGCACAGCTCATTTTCGAGCCTAGTAGCATAAGCTTATTACCCAGCTGTAGGAAGACAAAAAAGAGAAATGGTAGAAAGAAATGACCCAAAAAATCTTTTCCATCTTTGGAGATGGTTGAAAAAGTTTTTTTTAAAAAAAAGTTTATCAAAAAAATTATTTCATTACATGGTACATACCGAGGAAGCCAAATCATCTGACTTCAAAGTTTTAGCAAGTCCAAAATCCCCTAAACCAGTGCAGACCAGAAAGAAAGTTTAGGATAAAAATCACAGAATATGCAATCAGGTAGGATATCTAATATAATTCAATGATGAAAAAAAAAAAAAGAAAGAAAAAGAGAAAGAACCTCTAAGAAACCAAGAGGAAAAGGGAAAAGACAAACTCACCAAGGCGGACATCTTGATCTTTGGTTATAAAAATATTGGAACACTTACAAGATAGTGCCAAAAGTCAGTCCATAAATCATTAAGTTAACAAAAAGACTAATCTAAATTTATATACATACCTTGAGGTCGCGATGCAGAACAAAATTTGAATGCAGATATTCAACTGCCAGAAGTAGCTGTGCAAACCACTTGCAGAGTTTCTGCACAATATTCACAATCATCGGAGTTAACTGTAAGTCATAACCCAAGAGGAAACTAACTTGTAAAATCAACAGGTATAGATAAATTAGGTTACCTCCTCAGGGAAATAGACCCCATTTGATTTTTTCATCAATTCAGCCCTGTTAAGAAAGAATAACAAAAAGAACAATATTGGCACATTGCAGAAATTAAAAAACAAGAAACTTCAAATCAAAGTTCTCCATACAAGCTCGGAAACTCACATATCTCCACCTTCACAGTATCCAGTAACAATGCAAACAAAGCAACCCTACATTACAATCACAAAACTCAAAATCAACAGAAAAAAAAAAAGGCAGTCACGTACTTAAAAAGCTACTAGTAAAAGTAGATTTTGATTCAAGAATCCTAGCAAAAAAACAAAACAGTAGCATGGTATCTTACTTTCTCCACCCAAGCTTCCTTAAATTCAACAATGAAAGGATGCTGAATTCGAGCAATAAGTGCCATCTACATTCCACAAAATTCAAACTAAATTATAAGCATGAAAATTAAAATCTCTATTATTTTAACTTAAAAACATTAAAATTTTTAAACAAATTTAAGTAACTAACTTCTTGATGTGCAGATCTCCTGCAACGCTCTGTTTGCCGCGCCAATCTTATCTTCTTCAACACATACCTGAATTTTTATTATAAAAAAAGGAAATTTTCAAATAAAATTTACTGATTATTAAAAAAGTTCAAAAAGTGAGAAATTAGAAAAATACTTTTTCTTCTCGGATTTGTGGTGAACAAGAATGGCAGCACCAAAAGCACCACGGCCGATCTGTTCCATGATCTCGTAATGATCCATTCGAGACTCCATAGCTTTCAACTCTTTACTCGATCTTTTTATTTTCAAATCAAAATTACGAACAAAACGATAAATTAAGACGAGAAAAAGAAAAAAAATCAACTCATTTTCGTCTTAAAACATTTTTTTCTCCGGATCTCGAAATCATTGCCGGATTCTTCGCTTCAATTCCAATGCTGCCAATGCATTCCAATAACCAAGTGAATCGTTTTAACGATCATTTCTCAAAGCCATAGAAATATTCGCCTTCGATCCTCTCCTTTTTTCATTGCGGTTTGTAGAGCTTTCTCTTTCACTTCATTCTATAGCAGGAAACAAAAGAGCAATTTTTTATAACTTTTTTTTTTTTTTGAGTTACGAGTTTTGTAGTGAGAGAGATAAGTGGTTAAGTAACTAAGCAAGACGGTTAGTAGTTAACCAAAGGTAAAACTTTATTAACTCTTTAATTATTTGTTTTATCTATTTATAATTTTGAGAGAGAAGGAGCTCATGAGAATATGCTATACTCTACGTCGACGTAACCAACAATCTTTTGTATGTAAATTTGATAATTTTATGTACGATATAATAATATAATATGACATAAAATTAAAATAATATAATTTAAATTTAAAAATATATAAATTTAATAAAAATAAAAAATTTTGACATAAAATATAATTGATCATTTTTATATTATATATTTAACATTAAGTAAACACAAAGTTTTATGAAAAAAATTATCGAATGTACTTTAATGTTATATATTAATAAATATTTTTTATTTCTTTTTGGTGGATTTTAATGGGAGCAATAAATGTGGTTGGAAGGCCCACAATTGATGTGTTCACTTTATAAATCTTTTTTTATCTCTTCTGCTTTTCTATTTCCTATATTCAAAAATGAGAACAAATTGGATTTAAAAAAAAAAGTAACAAGAATGATGCTTAGCTTTTAAGAATTATTTTTTTATTAATTTTGATATTATTGTCGTCGATTTATTGCTATTATAGTTATGTGCTACTTTTCGATTTATATATTAATTCCTTCACCAAGAGGATTGAAATTGCTTTTTTTTTTTTTATGAAAAGTTGGTTAAAATGTTACATGTGAGAGTTTAAAGAGATGGATAGCATTTTTTATAATTTTTATATGTGTTTTAATTTTAAATTCTCCAGTTCTTTTATAGTTGTTTAAATTTGTGATTCAAAATTTATATTAAACAAGTAATACTTGGCTTAATTAAGTAAATTTTAGTTCAATTTTTGCTAAATATGAAAATTTCAACCTTGTAGTGCTCATTAGTAGTTTACTTTGCCAAGTGACTTAATTAAGGGGCACCACCTACATTGGGTTTTAAAACATGATTTGAGAGAATGGTTAAAGATTATGTTGATATGAGATTGAAAAGATAAAATTTTAATTATTACAAATAAAAATCCAACACTCTACTAACAAACCATAAATTATGTGAAATTTTGTAAATCAAACTAAACATTGGACTTATGTCTGAATTTGGCATAATGCAAACTTATGCATGAATAATGTCAATGTCATGCATATGCATAAGTCTAATGTTTAATTTTATTCACAAATCTTATATACTTTACCAAGTTTTTGCAAAAAAAAAAAAAGTCAGATATATATATATGGGGTAGTATAACTTTTTAGTTTGGTGCATTCTTATTATATATCATGGTTTTTTCTATTGACTTTGAATAGATTTAAATAGTATAATTATAATCAATGAATTGTCATTTCAATGATATTGAAGTCAATTTCAAAATTAAAAATTTTAAATTTAAACCCAAATTGTATCCAAAAAAAAATAAAAAATAATGTAATTATATCATATTTAGAATTGATTACCTTCTTTATACCAAATTATTGAGAAAAATTAAAATAGAAGTAAAACAAGTAATTCTTAGAAGAATGGTACTAAAAAACAAATTCAAAAAATTCAAAAACATGCTAAATAGTTAACAGTTACACTATTATTTAACAATGGATAAAAATTTTTTGGAATTAATAGTAAAAGAGAAAGAGTTGACCCCAATATGTTGCAAAATCCCAATGAGTTGACAAGTCCAAGGCAATGATTAATGTATTATATACCTTCGCAGATAAGGTGAGTTGTAAAAAAACAAAGTTAAATAATTGTAAGCTCTTCTGTTCAAAACTGCAAAAAAAAAAAAAAAAAGCACCATTGTTTGAGCAATCAGCAGTTCAGCATCCGCCATCATGTGCTTTGCATCTGCCTCCCGGCTCCATTTAAGAGTGCTAACATGCGCCGGGCTTTCTCTTTCCCGGAATGTTACCAATAGCAAGAGGCCAGTTATGGGTCATTCGGATTTGGGTGCCTTAAACTTTTCCAGGATGGCGCTTCCTGATTGGTCCAGCTGGTCTCCGCTGCTCCAGCAGGTCTGGATTATTCCCTGGTCTTCGCTAAAATGCGCACATGCGGTTACGGAAAACGACGCAGATATCGAGGGTAGTTTCCTCCGGACCCCACTACTTTCCTTTCTTTTTTATTTAATTTGTTTTTGTTTACTCAGATTTAGCGCCAAAGTTTATAGCTAGGCTTATCGTATCGCTCTCTCATCACAATCTGAAACACGAGTGGATCAGCTCAATTGCTCACATTTGTAAAAAAGAAAAAACCATCAATAAAGTACTACATCTTATCGAAGCAATCAATGAATTAAATAAACCAATAAACTAATAAATGAAATAACATATAATTAAGTAAATTTAATATAATATTAAATGATATTGACAAATAATCTTGAAATTTCAATATTTCAAGATCTCTGCCTTTATTTACAAGTTAAAAACAACAAAAAGTATAATGTAAAAAAAGTACAATAAGTCGTTAATTACTATTCTGATAAGAGAAAAATATGGGTTATTAATAATGGAAAAGTAGTTTGGAAGTTGGTTCATGAAGAATCCAAAAAAAGAAAATGAAATTGAGAAGGTAACCTCACTTTCTCTAATATTTGTATCATTATATGTATTCAATTACTTCATAATCTCTATTTGTCAGCATGAAGAAACAGTAACCTGATTATATATTCAATTTTAAAATGTTAAATACATGGTACTGTGAACAATACTTTATTTGAGCCTTTCATCTTTCTAAACAAACGCGCCATTGTCTTTAAAAGGAAAAAAAGGAGTGCAATTAAAAGTTCACCTGGTTGTCTGGTCAGATATTATATTATTTATATCAAAGAAAGAGCTTATGGATATTAAAAAAAAACAAAATTATTAACCTAGCTAGAAATAAAAGAACAACTATGATACTACTTTTGCAATTTGCATAATAATCTATAATGATTTGTAGACCAAAACAAATGGAGGTGTTTAGCTGTCTTTATTTGTTCAATTGATTTCTTGGTTTATACTTCTCTAGCTTTCTTACTAAGGTGGCAACTATTACTAGCATTTAAATAAAAGACATAAATGATTGGGCATCAAAATTAAATGTCACATGGTCAACTTGAATGCTTTCTCTTAAGATTGGAGTTAATTTGAGTAATGACAAATTAAAATGAATTGAAATTTGAGCGTTTGGTTATATTATGGAGATAATTAATTTATTGCATTTTATAAATTTCATTTCATTCGTCTCAATATTTAAATACGTGACTTTTAAAATGAAGTCTTAACAAATTATCAAGATTAAGATAAGATTTATTACTAGTTGTTATTTAATTGAGACAATTTAATCAAGTTACTATTATTTCAAATCAAAGTATTT